ATCTGTTCCACACTGAAAGTGTGACCAGTCTTGCTGTGAAAGGGAAGTAAAATACTGGCAAAGGATGCTGCAACCTGGTCTAAGATTTTTATCCCATAAACAGCTGAGATTCATGGTGGCTGCTTCTTGAGTCCCAAATATGGGAATTCATCGAGAATGGGACCCAGAACCTTCTACATCCACTACTGACCAGAAGCTCAAACAGCAGTTTTGCAGCTGATTATTTCATTCAGTTCTCTCTTTCTTTCACTTTTTCTTAGGTACTGTCTTGATTAACCTTGATCTTAATTACCAATGCTTCCATTGTGACCAGAGCCAAGAGGAGGAAACAGAAAGGCACAGGACAAGAGTGAAAAAGTATTTTTTGACTAAAAATGAAAAACTAACAATAGTTCCCAAGAAATGTAAGTCTTTTCTGATCAGAGGTTGCAAGGCTCTGTCTTTTGGCAGTTACTTCCTCCCATCCTGTAGGACAGGATTTTCCTTAGGACTTTGGGAGCATTATGCATTCTGAAGCTGTTTAAGTCTAGGCTCTGTCAGACTTTGCCCAGCTGGCTGCTTCCACTCTGAAGTGCATCCATATTGAGGGCTTTGGTTCCCTACAGCAGGTCATTTCCTGTCTGAATTTCTCAGCATTTTACAATCAGATACACACAGGAAGAAGGATCTCAAATCCTCCCTTCTTACTTACAAGTGCAAAAGAAAAGCCCTTGGTTATGGCTACTCCTGCCACCGTTCTTTGGGCTTCAGAGCTGCTTGCATCGTGCACTGGGGAGAAACTTCATTGGGATGACTGTAACAGAATGCTTAACAAGGTGGTGGTTAGCACTGCTTCTGAGAAGCGGTAAGATGGGCTCAAATACTTAAATCAAGGTGATGGTGGAATCTGGGTTTCCCATATCCTGCTTAAATTAGTAGATCCTAATTCCATGTTGGCTATCTGGGGTCTGAGGGTGATGCAAGCAAAGAAACCACTCAGCTGTGATTCCCCATGGTGCTTAAACAAGAGCTAAATGCCTGCTTCAGTGCAGCCAAGAGTTGGGCTGTGCCGGATCAAGAACTGTGTGTGGAAGGGGACTGACAGCTACCCTGTCCCCTAGTCTGGGGTAGGATCAAGTGTTCTTAAATATAGATTTTTTTTTTAAACTTGTTCTTAACATGCCCGGAGCAGTTTTCCAGATACTTTTACTCTTGAAAAGTGGTCACTTCAGTCTTCTGAGTTTAGCTGAAAATACTGAACCAATTTCATCCAGTCTTCTTGCCACAGTGGGAAGTGGCCCCCCAGGCACTGGGTGTTCCTGAATCCATAGCTGCCCCACACTCCCTGCGAGTCCTGCAGTGAGATTCCATATCTGATGGAGACCAACATAGCCAGTTGGGATCAGCCAGGGCTGGTAGTGTCCTCTCCCAGCTTGCTGAGAGTGAGCTGAGGCCTTGTGCTTTCTTCCACTGGCAGCAGTTTTCATCTGGGTAGATCCCTGCTCACAGAAGGTGATCCGTTCTGCTCACTGCAGATTGTAACTTGCCCTCATTTGATGTGGAAGATCATTTCAGGAGTGTCACATCCCTAATTTGCAAATGATTTGCACTCCAAGTTGTGGGAGCGAATAATTCCACATGTCATTTAGAAAATGTGGCCTGTGGTGTCTATTTGCAGTAACCACATTAGTTAAATTACCAGTGTGATTAACTGTAGGAATGAATGTGCTTTCATAAATGCCAGAGCAATTATTTCTCATAATTTATTCCACTCCTTGCAATATGGCCATAAGATTCTGAGCTAGTGTTTTTCCGAAAATATATTCCATATTTGCTTAAGAAAAATTTCTTCTTTCTAGGGCGATTGGATTATACTAATTTGGAGAACATTTCCAGTGTTCTTCATTAGAGTTGAGTAAGTTGTGAGAAAAATTATTTTCAGTGTAGGTGGTCAGCAACATACTTAGCAACAAAGTACTTGACTGATTCTCTCATTTCTGCATCCTTTCATTTAGGAGGTGGGGAAGTGTTGAAACAGAGTGTGAAGTGAATGTGTATGTATAAATACTTCATGTTTACAAATCCAGACTGCCACTTTACAGTGGCACCAGTTGCATGTTTACTTCTTTGTCACTGGCAGGTGCATAACTGTGTTACTAATCTAGCTAGAGAATGGCATCACCTCAGTAGGGCTCATTGAACCGTACATTTGTTTTCAGAACTGGTTTTGTGAAATAATCTGTATTAGAAGAAAAAGAACAACTTTGAAATGTACTGTCTGTCTTCTGTACTTCTGTTCCTAATTGCCATTTTGGTGTTAAAATCTTCAGTTCTAATTTCAAGAAACATCAACATCATGATTAGGAGTGTTACTGCTGAAAGGTCAGATCTTTCTCTTTTGACACTATCAGAGAGCTGTGCCTTTTTTGGCAGAAAGCTTGAAAATAGTCACATAGTTTCATATTGGTCTTCCTTCAGTTTAGTATTAAGAGTCGAAATAATTCCTGTTTACCACCTGCATTTATACTAAATTTGGGTCTATAGTGCACATTCAATTTCAGGCTGTAAACAAGTTGTGCCTTCTCAGCTGTTGGCCTGCCTTTCTGTGAACCAGAGTACTTATTTCAGTTAAAATAATGTGGGAAAGGAACACTGGTTCAGAGGGATGGTAACAGCAGCTGGTGAAATACGTGTCGCTGTGACTTGAATTGCAGTAGTTGTGCCCTAATTTCTCAGTGAATTGATACGCAACATTTGTGTTGAATTTTTTCTGTGAATATTTTGCTAGGGTAAAGGCATGCAAAATTTGCATTCAAATTCAGAAAAAAATTCTGCCTTGCTAATTAGTGAAGGCTGCTGTATATTTCATATATCATGTAGTCAAATTCATATTAATCCTGAACGCCCAAATCTGTGAAAGATGATAGGATAACTTGACGAATCATGTAAGATGGAGTCATTCCATTAAATTTGTATAATTCACGTCTGCAATAATGAAATGAAAATGTTTAACAGGACTGAACAAAAATGAATGCTAAGCCATCCTACAGTGGAAGGGTAACATCCTGTAACAATATTTTAATGAAAAAAGCATGGGGCTTCAGGAGCAGTGTCTCTTTCACGTGTAACTGTAATTTTATGTACCTTCTCTACAAGACAATGTTCTTTTTTTTTTCAGGCAGTTTGTGGCAGTGTTTCTTTGACCTGAATGATTGGATTTTAGATCAACACTGGAACAGTGTTGGAAGTCAGCTGTCAGCTTTCATTAGTTTAATACAAAAATTGGAGCACTTGGAACACTACAACCCAATTGTTGATTTCTGCCCTTCATATTCCATATGCCATGTTAGCTTTGTGTCTTTTTATTTGTATTCATTGTTTTAGATAATGGCATTTTCAGAAGTAGTTGTGACATAATAAAAGAAATAAAAATGATTTCATTGTGTTAGGTATGAAGGTAGCTGAAGATCTAGAATAAAATTAGAGTTATTGTTGTTAAATGCATGTACTGATTAGAAGTCATCATAAAATCACAGAATCACCTGGGTTGAAAAGGACCACAATGATCATCTAGTTTCAACCTCCCTGCTATGTGCAGGGTCGCCAGCCACCAGACCAGGCTGCCCAGAGCCACATCCCAGCTTTGTTTTGAATGCCTTCAGGGATGGGGCATCCACAATCTCTTTGAGCAATCTGTTCCAGTGTGTCACCACCCTATGAGTGAAAAACTTCCTCCTAATATCTAACCTAAATCTCCCTGTCTCAGTTTAAAACCACTCCCCTCGTCCTGTCACTGTTTACCCTTGTAAACAGCTGTTCCCCCTCCTGTTTATATGCTCCCTTCAAGTATTGGAAGGCCACAATGAGGTCTCCCTGGAGCCTTCTCTTCTCCAAGCTAACAATCCCAGTTCCCTCGTCCTTTCATCATAGCAGAGGTGCTCCAGTCCTCTGATCATCTTAGTGCCCCTTCCTCTGGACTCATTCCAAGAACTCTGCATTTTAAGGAATGTGTAGAAGTCTTTTAATAAGCAATATGACCACAAGGCATGAATGAGCCTTTCATAATACTTATATAGAAATGTTTCATTATTGATAAATATTGAAGTGTGTCCCATTTTTTGACAAGGAGCTGTGGGTTTTCAAGATGTTTGGGGTATCTGTTTCCCATCTCACTGCAATTCCCATGTTCTTTATCCAATCTGTATCCCTCCTTACTGGAGGGACTGGGATAGTTGTTGAATACCTCAACCCATACTGCAGTCTGTAGGACAGAATGACACTGAGTGGGACTGCTGAAGTCTACAGCCCTTTCCTCTTGCAGTATGTCTTCTTACCTAAGCCAGCCCCAATGTTCAGAACTCCTCTTGAGGATGTGAGCTATCAATCAGTGTGCTGGGTTTACAACTAAGATGAAGCTGTGCAAGCGGATGCAAATGTGACACTTGGAGGTGGAAATAATAGTTTCAGACTATGCTACTGTCTTTTTTGATGCTAAATGAAAGCAGCAAGTAGAAGGAGAAGATTGGGAATACATAATAAAGAATGGGAAGGATCCTTGATTTGTTGTTTACTGTCCTCACTAATGGATGTCTGTAATTTGATTAAGCAGATAATGACCAAGGCTTTTAAATAAAATAATTCAGTTGGATTAGAATGTTCCTCAGACACTGCATGTTTTGACATAATGGCAGCATTCTAATTGAATCACTAAGAGAAAACATACCCTAAACTGACTGGATTATGGCTACTGTAAATCTGGTTACCTCCTCAGCCAGACTTGGGTTTTGTGTATGCTGTCTGCCTTGAAAAGCTGGTGGTGACAAAACAAAGGTACTTTAAAAGACACTTATACTGAGTGTTCTGACTGAACTAAAATACTGATGTTTTTTAAGTGGAAGATTTGGTGCAGGTCAGCAATCTGGCATCGACTGTTTCTGCAGCATGGAGTGTCTGTTTCCTGGCCATAGCAGAGATCTGCAGATGACCACGGTATGATGGAGATGTCTCTTTTGTCTCTGCAGAGGCGGGGGGTAAGAAGCTGCGAAGCACCGTCCAGAGGAGCACTGAGACAGGGCTGGCTGTGGAGATGAGAAACTGGATGACCCGCCAGGCCAGCCGGGAGTCGACGGATGGGAGCATGAACAGCTACAGCTCCGAGGGAAAGTAAGCTGCAGACTTTGCTGTGGTCACCTGGCATTTCTCTGCAATACTGATAGATGAAAGTGAGGTGAATGCTGTAGGTCCTGTTGAGTCAGAATCTTTCCCACAAGCTTGTGTCATTGATGGGCTGCATGGAGACGAAGCCTAAGTTTCTTCCTGTGACCGAGAGAGCCTTCCATGATTCATAAGGGCAGTGTGAGGAACGTTTCTGCAGCTCCATCAAAGACACTTGGTGGGTCAGAGACACACAATGCAGTGTGTGCAGTGCTGTGGGTTCAACACAGGAAAATTGATTTCTCTTCTGAAAGCCTCTGCCTTCAAGAGTGCCTCCTCTGTTTTGCAAAGCCAAGAATTTTTAGAGTGAGCATGTCCAGGTCCCATTCACTGGAATAAAGAATTTCTCAAAGATTCTGCTAATTAATCCTGAAAAATGGATGTGAGCAGACGTATGAGACTGTCATATATTTTAATGTCCTGTGTCATGCTTTTCATAGAAGCCCAAGTTAAAGACCACTGAATGGCAGGTCCAAGGCTCTGCCCAGAACAGTCTTATTGTGGATAGATTTTTTTAGTGGTATTCACAGCACTGAACAATAGACTTTTACTGGTATATTGTTAAACTGGTACTGGTTTGAGTTGCTGCACTGTATGCACTTGAGATGGACATTCATTTATGATTGGTCATTACAGATCTCACTAGTTTTTTGTATTTTTCTTTTAATTGGTCCTGTAGAAAATTACTGTTTTCTCAAGCAGTTGCTGATCAGATTGTAAGCAGTGTTACCAAAAATATAAATGATAAAGACAAAAATCTAGAAAGCTAACCAAAACAAAAGGCAACTTCAAGAGTATTTACTGGGTTTTTTTCCAATATTTTTTTCAGTTTGATTTTCCCTGGTGTGAGGTTGGCTGCAGACAGCCAGTTTAGTGATTTTCTGGATGGGCTTGGTCCTGCCCAGCTTGTAGGGCGACAGACATTGGCAACACCATCAATGGGTAAGCATTTGTGTCCTATAAATGTAATATACTGAGTCTGGTAATTAGAACATAGAAATTAAATAGATTCTAATTCTTTAAACAAGGATTTTCCTTGTGATTTTGAACAACTTAGTTAAGTCTATAGTTAAGAACTATATTCTGATCCAAAGTTGAACATAGTTGTGGATTTTCACTAGGATATTCAAAAGTAGAAAGATGCCTTGAAAAATTCAATCCTTTATCTGTTCTTCTTCAGTATTCCATTTTTGAAATGTGGCTATGAGACCTATTCTTTCTGTGAATTACTTGGGTAGTACTGAACAAAAATAAGAATTTAGGTGCAAAAAGTAGTTGTTATTGTCATGCCCACAGATTCTATACACTCAAAAGTACTTTTTCATACCTTTTCATAAACTAGAGCAAGAGTGAAATGGTTCTAAGCAGTTTTACAGAGCTGCTTTGTACTAATACCCTTGCTGCCTTCATGTCTCTGAAATTCTTAAAAAAGAATGTAATTTGAAGTAGTAAGAGCAATGGAAAAGGGAGGTGAGATGTTATTGCAGGGTTCTTTCATTGTTTTATTACATAAGTAGCAGTGAAGAGAATAGGTATTAAATTACCAAGTAGTATTCAAATCTGGATTGTACTTACTGGTGGAATTCAGAAAAGAGAAGTTGTCAAATATTTATTCTAGAATTTCTTTGTTTGTTTGTTTTCTAGGAGATATCCAGGTAGGAATGATGGACAAGAAAGGACAATTGGAAGTAGAAATTATCCGAGCCCGTGGCCTTGTTGTAAAACCAGGTTCAAAGACACTGCCAGGTAAGGAAGAAAAATCCTGGCAGCATGAATAGAGTTCTACTGAAAAAAAAAGAATTCAGAAAAACTTTCCAACTTCTGAGACTTTACAATTCAACTTTGGTGACTTTTTTTAGCAAACTCGTGTCAGCAAATTACAATACTGTTCATTGAAATAGAGAAATGTACTGAAATGGTATAAAAGCATGGAGTGCATACAAAAATAATTTTCAACAGTACTTCAGGAGAAAATAAAATAGGCTGTTCTCTGCTACCAGGAGATACAAAAGTATTTGAGTAATTGCAAATGCACTCTTGGGAATTAGGTAGAATTCCAGTACCTAAAGGGGACCTACAAGACAGCTGGAATTAGACTCTCTTTCAGTGTATGTAGAGACAGGATAAGGAGTAATGACTGTAAATTCAAGAGTGTCCTCTTTTTAGATTAGATATAGGGAAGAAGTTTTTTATTATGAGAATGGTGAGGCACTGGCATAGATTGCCCAGAGATGTGGATGCCCCCTCCCTGGAAGAGTTCTAGGTCAGGTTGGACTGTGGCTTTGAGCAACCTGATCTGATGGAAGGTGTTCCTGCCTATGGCAGAGGGGTTGAAACTAGGAGTTCTTTAAGGTCTTTTCCAACCCAAACCATTCTGTGGTTCTTCAGAAGTAGGTATACACTGAAGAGGTGATATAATAATCTTAGAGGTAAAGTGGGAATCAACAAGATGTATGGAATAGGTACCTACTCTGAAAAGTAGACCACTAGGTGATACTTACTCCTTATTTTATAATCTCATGTTCTGTGACATTCTGTGAAAAGGACAATAGGCTGATATTTTTAGTGAGCTTTTCTGCCAAAATAGAAATTGTGTCAGAGTCTTTTCTTCACTAATTTTCACTTTGTAGATTATTTAAATTATTAACAATTTGGAGCATTGATCCAAATTTCACCAAAGTCAGTGCAAGTCATTCATTTAGTTAACAGGCCTATTTTGCACACTGTACAGTCATAGGGATACAGGTTGCCCAAGGAGTTGTGGATGCCCCCTCCTTGGAGGTGTTCAAGGCCAGGCTGGATGGGGCTTTGAGCAAACTGGTCTAGAGGGAGATGTTTCTATAGCAGGGATTGGAACTGGGTGATCTTAAAGGTCCCTTCCAACCTAAACCATTCTAAGACTTTATAATTCTATGAATATCTGATTTTTCCAGGTCAAAATCTGAACAGTTTTGTTGCAGAAAAGGACATATGAAAAGAAGAAAAAAATGATACAAGGGAAAAAATAAAGAAAATGCAGAGATTCTTTGCATGTTAATAAATTTTACTATTGCTTGTGGAGATTTGTTCAAACAAGTTACATATCCAGTAAAAGGCAAAATTTAGCATACAGTGATAGAATATTGCATCTATTATGCAAAAATCTGGACTTATTTTTCTTTCTTTCTCAGCACCATATGTAAAGGTGTATCTATTAGAAAATGGAGTCTGCATAGCCAAAAAGAAAACAAAGGTAGCAAGAAAAACGCTGGAACCACTTTATCAGCAACTTCTATCATTTGAAGAAAGTCCCCAAGGAAAAGTTTTACAGGTAATTTGCATTGCTACTCTTAAACTGAGAACATCTCTTGTTCAGTTCTCACTGAGAAATTTACAGAAATATTTCATGCTTCATTTGGCAAGTTTTACTATTTCAAAGTCTTGTTGAATACAGAAATATCAGAGTAACACCTACTGATGATTAGCAAGTAGAAGGTGCTAGGCAAAAGTTAGCTATAGATTATTTTGCCTATACTATGTGTGCTGCTTATCTCACTGGGCTTTCTTTGGTATTAGGGATAACTACTCTGTTACTTCCCAGCTCATTTCTGCCCTGTATCTTGGTAATATATGCTGAACTAACCTGTATCGTCAGTGGAATAGTTTAATCCTTACTATATATAATTAAATAAAAGGAAACATTTGAAGAATCAAATAAGTTCTTGTCATTGTTACTGATTTATTTCTGTTTTTGTGTATTTCCTTTGCTAACAGATAATTGTTTGGGGAGACTATGGACGTATGGATCACAAATCCTTTATGGGAGTGGCACAGATACTTTTAGATGAACTGGACCTGTCCAACATGGTGATTGGGTGGTTCAAACTCTTCCCTCCTTCTTCCCTTGTAGACCCAACTTTAGCTCCTCTCACCAGAAGAGCTTCCCAATCATCTCTTGAAAGTTCAACAGGACCTTCGTATGCTCGCTCATAGCAGCTGTGAAACTGTTGTCATAGCAACCAGCGTTACAAAAAAAAAAATAAATTACAGGTCGCAAACCCTGGTAACACTGCATGCTTAATGTTGTGTCTTCTGAGCCTGTTTCTAGGGCTACAACGCGATCCTGTGTTCTCAAGGAAGTTGCACACATTGTGCCCTACAGAAGGCCCTCAGGTGAAGGACTGAAGTCATGAAGAACTGATAGGTTTGGAGTTCAGGGACACTCAGTTTTGGTCCAATCTGAAGCCATGGACTAAACTAAAAGAATCAATCTGTTTCATGCAACAAAAGTCCTTTTCAATGGCATATCTATTTTGTTGCTCCTGTTTCTTTATCTGCCCTCCCCTCCTAAAGCTTGGTTATGCCACAGAAATGGAGTTACCCTCCCGTGAAGCCATGTTTCAAGTTGGTGAAATTGCAGACGTTAGAAGAAAAGAAGAATGTAAAGGATGCTGGAAAAGTCAGCCATCATTTGAAACAGTTACTTGAGATCTGAAAACTCTTCACAAAGGTTCAAGACTTAAAGTGGTGGGCTTCAAACATCCAGTTATAGATACAGTGAAACCCCAGATATGATGGACTCTGAAAAATAAAATTCTGTGGATATACTGTACTGTATGAAATTAAAGAAACTTTTTTGCATGGACACAGATTTAGCTGAACACTTAAATTATTTTCTTGGGGCTGCAACTTGCAAAAAAACAAAAGAATAAATCAGCCATTTTCAACAGTTTATATTATTTTTAAAAATAAATTTCACTAGTGCATGGTTTTAAAGGGAAGAGAATGCAACAGGGTGATACAAAGACACACCACGTTTATCATTCTTTAAACCAGTCATGGTCTGTATTTTTGCAGACGTATATTAAAAATAAAAAATAATTTCTAGCAAATACTTAAAATTCTGTTTATGTGACAAGAAATAAGTGTAATATATTAAATTTATTTAAATGTAAAAGGTACAAGCCTTGTAAAGTTCAACATAATGTGCAAATTGTACACTTCTTTTACCTCCTCCTTTTTCTCCTTTCAGTCTCCCTTCTTCCTTTTGCTCTTTTCCCCCTCCGCCTCCCACAATGATCATCATATTCAAAATGGCTACCTTTTGACTTATTACTCTCTTACGCCCCATATTTGGTTTGAGGATTGCAGATTGTTCTGCATTTCTGAATTATTTGAGAAAAATATTGTTTAAGAACTTATTTTTTTTTCAAGCATGTTGAAAAGGATTTTGCAACATGGCTTGGGAGTACATTAATGTAATTCAGCATGTATTTGATAAAAAAAAAAAAGATATTTCAACTTTTTGCAATTTATTGTACAGTGCATGGTAACTTATTTTCATTTTTTCTCACCTTCAAATTGAATTCTACAGCAAAATACTGGATTCATGTGGCCATTGTAAGATGTCTTCAATAAATTTCTTTTCAGCACCAGCATCATTCATTCAAGGGTTGAAGTATCATTTCTTGAAGGTTTTGGAAAGAGGAAAAGTGAATCACGAGGAAAAATCATTGATTTTTAGGAGATAAATTTAAACATTTTATTTGCACTAAACCAAATTAATTGCTACAATCTTGAGATTATAAAAGCAGCAAAGATTACTAGTTCTTACAGTTCTGCTGTAAAGTTCGGTTTTCATCAACTACATTTGTGTTGGCAAAGAGATAATTAGGTAATATCAGTCTGAAAATGTCAATTTTTGGTTCGTAAATAGCCTTAAAGAAAGCTTATGGGTACCTCTCAGGCAGTTATTTGACACCATTACCAGAACCCTCATTGCAGTCAACAGATCTCCAAAACCCTGGTTTTTGTAGCAGACAGTAACTGCCATTGGGTGGTGCTGTGAGTTCAAGCTTCTCATTAAATTACATGATTTAAAGGGAATATAACTGGCTAACATTTAATAATAAAATGTCCCTTTTTTTCTGGGTCTTTGTATGCCTTTATTACCTACTTAAGGTTTAATATTGAAACCTTGCAATAATTTTTGAAATACACATTGCATTTACCTTTCAGGCCACACAGAATTATTCTGATTTTATTTGAAAATCTGTTCATGTTTCCCATTGAGAAATTGTACATGCCTCATTAGAGGGCCAAAGTAATAATAGTATACTTAAAATTGCCTTTTACTTTGTGCAATATCATATAAGTGGAGATTGTGTCTTGTCTTCAGAGTTTATATAATGGATCGTTGTTAAGTTAATGAACAGACTGGTAAAATTATATTTATTGAAATAATTTAGACACCTGTCTACCAGCAGCAAATAAATGCTATCAACATGCAGTCTACAATATTCCCTAGGGTAAAAGAAAAATACATAACCATTTTCCTGATACTGTGAGATGTGCGCACACATTGCTGTGTTCATTGTCCTATACAAATTATTTCCAATTTTAAAATCAAGGACACAATGCATGGAAGGTTTGTACATACTTGTCATTATGCAGTATTTATTTAAAAAAAAATTAATGTATTTTTTTTAATTTTCACATGTCTGCAACTCTACTTATGGTTTAGTCATGTAAATAGCACTATTCCAGTGATCACTGCTGTCTTGTACATACTATGTTTTAAAAAGTTAAAAGGAATTACAGTTGGGAAAAAAAAAAAAAGGGCAGATTAGGGCCTGTAATGAACACCAACTAATGTAAATCGAACTCATTCTGGTGATGGTATTTAACACTTTAAATAAAACATTTTCTTTACAGAACTTGTGTGCAGCACTTTGGTTCTTTTCTCACTGTGACAGCCATAAGATGTCAGACCCCATAAGCTATCAGAGCTTGGCTGCAAGGCCATGCACAGACTTTGGTGTTACCAGGATAGTAAAGGCTGGGACTGTCCCATTTGTGGTCCCATGGCCCCAGGCTGCACCATGCAGGTAATTTCCAGCCTGGAGGTGGGGTGGTTGCAATCCAGGAGGCCACTTGGGATGTTGTAATCACATCTACAGCTAGGCAAGATGGCTGCTGTGTGTGGGTGGCTCATGTCTGGCCAGGATGGAGGTGGGGATGGCGGGAGTGGTGGCTTTTCTCTCTGTCTGCCTCAAAGGCAGTGTCAGCAAGGGTAGCGTTTGCTGGGTCTCAAGCACAGCCTTTAAGATAGGGACATATGCCTTGGAAACTCTTGGGAACGCGCAGGCCAAAACCTTCTGCAGTATACTATTTTTTTTTCCTAAGAGGTCCTTTACTTCTTTGAGACAACCCTGTGATGTGGCTTGCTGCTTCCCTCATCAACTCCTTCACTTAATTTCATAGAATCACAGAGCTGTAGGGTAAAGGGGATCTCTAGAGATCATGGGGTCCAACCCGCTACTACAGCAGTTTCCTGCAACAGGTCACTCAGAAAGGTGAGCAGACAAGTCTTGAATATCTCCAGAGAAGGAGACTCCACAGTCTCTCTGGGCAGCCTGTTCCAATGCTCCATCACTCTAAAAGTGAAGTTCTTCCTGGTGCTAGTATGGAACTCCCCATGTTCCACTTTCTGTCTGTTGCCCTTTCTATTCTTGCTCACCACTGAAAAGAATCCACCCCATCAGCATTTCAAACAAAGCAAAGCTATAGATTTTTTTTCTTCTTTGCAGTCCTGTGTGGGGCTTCGCTCATGGTTTCCAAAGGTTGGCTCAGATGATGGACCTGTGCTATTTTTTTCAGAAGTTCTTGTACTAGTGAAAAGTGTAGTAAAACACTGACACCATAGGAGTGTAGCACTTCTCTGCTTTCATCCCTTCACTGCAGGTCTCCAAGGCTCACAAGGTTTGAGGGGTCACCATATGCTGACCAAGATGCCTACTCAGTTCCCAAGGCTGCCTACTGCTATCAGACATTCATAACTGTGTAAGATTAAAGTATAAACATTTTTATATAGAAGGTTGTCTTACCAAAGTTTAATCGTGACACAAAAGTTGGTAAAGTGTTGGTTTTCACAGCTTCCTCACAAAGTTAGGTAATTCCATGGGGGAAGGCTGGAGCAGTTCACATTGGTTCCTTCAGCTCCTAGCTCAGATTAAGGCTTCCATTGCTGTCTCTCAAGCAGCAAAAAGCAGACCCAGAGTTAAGGGTCTCAGATTAATCTTCCAAGTGTGCCTAACCTCTCTGTTCCCTCCTTGGTAAGCATCTACAATGAGCCTTTATCAAATATGAACTGCTACGGGACAAAGATGACACATTCTCCCAGACAAGAATGGCCCACTTTCAGGACAGATTCATGGAAGCTGGCTCTAGCTAGCAAAAATAAATAAATAAAGCTTTGTGCTTCTAAGACCAAATATAAATCAGCTTTCTGGAATTATTGGCTTCATACCTGCCTATTTTAGATGTCTCATTTAGAATGGAATGAACGGCTCTGGGGAGATCAATTTCTCTCCCTCATTTCCCATTGACTACGCAGGCAGAAAGAGGAATGACTTCCCTGAGCTGAATGGCTAATTTTGCAGCAGTTGTACTTAGGAGAAGTAGACCAGTCTTGACAGCCAGAAATAAGAGCAAAAACTCAGAGCTTGCTAATGAAGGACCACTATCTGAACTGCCTATGAAATTATCAGGTCTGAGGGCAGCAGGCAGCCGATGACAGGTGAGGGAAGAAATGGCTGGGAATCAATTTTTTGGAACTGATGCACTGCACTGCCAGGTCATTGCTCAGCCCAGCCCCAGTGAGGAAGAGGAACCCAGGCTGAGTAATTAAGCCATAGAATCATAGGGCACGAACACCCAAAATATATTGCAGTCAGACTCAGTGATCTTGAAGGCCTTTTCCAACCTGAGAAATTCTGTATTTGACATGATGTCAAACAGAAACAAAAGAGCATTATAACTCAGCAGAAAGTGCATGACACAGGACAGAGGAAAACACCATCTTAAGTGCCTGCCCTCTGTGACCGTTTCTGCAACCAAGAACATTTTAAGTACCATCCAAAACGCACTGCGGGATTCAAAATGCACTGTGTTCATCCAGTGTTGAACTGGTATGGGCACAAAAACAAAATGGATAGATGGTGCTGGATGCTATTAGATTTATACACGTTGATATTTAAGATATCTCAGCAGTGGAAGTGGGATTGGTACCAGCAGGCTGTTTCTCTAGGATGAACTGTTTCTCCAAACAGTTGTTAGAGTGGCTGGTGTGAGAGGTGTTAGTCAGTCCTCTCCAACTGCAGTTGTGGTTAGAGAACAGTTAGTGGTTTAGAGATGATCTTCATCTTAAAGTAACAGCGCTCACCGAAGTGAAAACAAAACGCTCAACAAACAATCCTGCTATGTGAATAGAGCATCCAACACATGAAGAAAAAGGCCATTATTATGCTTGCCAGTGAATGGCAGCCCAGTTTGAGTAAGAATAGATACCAAAATTACTGCCCTCTTGAAGAGAATACAAAGCAGATTCAGGGAAGAGTGAGAGAGAAAGTAGGATTGTGAAATTATCAGTGTAACAATGGGAAAGATATTTTATTGATCCCCTGGCTTGTTAATTAACCCCTGTCTGGTTAATTAGCATTCAGCTGCAGCACTTCTGAATAGTGGCAGAGCTGCCCTGAAGATGAGGAAGAGTCAATTATCACAGGCCCCACCCACGAGGGACCAGAGCACTGAGAGTGCTGCTGCATGGGAAGCAACTGGGTAAATAAGCCTGGTGACATTTCAAGTTTTTTCTTATGCCCTATCACACACTGTCAATGACCCAAAACCAAAGATTTTCTTTATGTAAGAATTTTTCAGTCCGTATTCTGATTCCATACCAACTTCTCAGATGAAATCTTCTGTTTTGAAATTCTACCTTTAAGACCTACTTTCTCAGATCTGTTAACTTGGGCTTGAAGAAGCCTTGACAGCCACCTGCCTCAGGCATCAATGCAGGTATTTACAGGGCCATATGCACAAATAGCTCTGTCCTCCATAGTGCTTCAGCTGTCCAGGCACAACTGCCTGAAGGGCAGCAGCTCTGGCTCTCTAGGAGCAGCCCTGGAATACTATGGCACTACTGCATGGTTAACTTTACTCCTCACTAACAAAGATAAAAGCTGGATATCTTCATATATGTACTGATGCAGTTTGGCTGTTGGAACAAAACTGGAGTTAGGAAAAGCAGATCTCAGAGTAAGCCAAAAAAATGCTTGGGTTACATGAAGGCCAAGCCACCAAATCAGCTGAAAAACCATGACTCTGATCAGTTCCCAAAACACAAGCCAGGTGCTAGGAATGGACATGCTAAGTGAAGATACAGAGGTGACACGTTCCTGCCAGCAAATTCAGGCCGGTAAAAGCCTGTTGGCACTGCTCTCAGCTTTGAAAGTTTCAGTAGGATGTAAAAAGAAAGATGATCAGAGGGCTAGAGCATCTCTCCTATGAAGAAAGGTTGAGGAAACAGGGCTTATTTAGCTTGAAGAAGAGAAGATTTTGGGGAGGCCTCATTGTGGCCTTCCAATACTTGAAGGGAGCATATAAACGGGAGGGGAAATGACTGTTTACAAGGGTAAATAGTGATAAGACAAGGGGGAAAAGTTTTAAACTGAGACAGAGGAGGTTTAGGTTAGATATTAGGTGGAAGTTTTTTACTCAGAGGGTGGTGACACACTGGAACAGGTTGCCCAAGGAGGTTGTGGATGCCCCATCCCTGGAGGCATTCAAGGCCAGGCTGGATTTGGCTCTGGGCAGCCTGGTCTACTGGTTAGTAACCCTGTTCATAGGGGTTGAAACTAGATGTTCATCGTGGTCCTTTTCAACTATGATGATTCCATGAAAATGAACATGATGATCCCTGTAAAATCAATGAATGTACAGATACTATAATTATGAAATATACCCGAGAGTTTGGCTAAGCAGTTATTATACCAAAACAGAATAGATAGGATGCTTACCTGTATCCTGGGCTCACTATGAAACTCCATAGGAGAGGATCTCCAGAAGAGATCCTTCCCCATTGGTAGTCAGCTCTTAAATGGGTCTAGGAGAGGTGCAGCCAGGCTCCACCCCTTCAGGCAACACAGGTGAATTGCCTTCACCTGTGCTCCTGTGGCTGACTCATTGTTCGCCTCAGGTGATCAATCAGAGGTTCAGGCCATGATTCAGCAGCATGATTCCCATACAATCCCCATTTAAGACTACTAATTTCTGTGAGATACATATGTTCATTTCTAACCCAGGACTTTTTGTTCTGAATTTACATACTGAGGTATCAGTAAAATTCACATAGCTATAAAGCAATTGAGTTACTAAAAACTTCTTTTTGTGTAGAAATTGTTGGGGTTTTTGTTTTGTTTTGTTTTTTTACTTGCTTAGGCAAAGTTTTCCTTCTTTGCCTTTGTCAGGATGATCCACAAACTGAGAGCAAGGCCAATCTGCCTCAGCATGACCTTTCCACATTTAATCCATGTCTGATTTATACTTAAAATGTGAGTAGATGCTTTCGGTAACAGATTCAGAATAATCTGGCATATAGCTTTCCCTCTTCCTCCCTCAGCAGCTTTGCGTTCCTAATCAGAGTTGATTAACAAACTTAATTGTGACAGCTGGGTGTCAATGCAGTTCAGCTAGCCACACATACAGTCTCAGATGGATACTCAGGCTGTCTTTAGGCATCTAATCTAGGTGAAATTCAGAGGGCCACAATTAAGAGTTTATTTAATTGTATTCAGTGGAGACAGCAGGCCCTTCAGGGAATTTCTAATTTGAGATCCTCTGGAAAGTCATTTTGAGCACCTTTTACCATCAGCTA